TGGCTGCTGAGTGGGCTGTGGCTTTGGCGCACAAGGCTGGAGGCCTCGGGTGTCCGCGTCCTCACTTCCCCAGTGGGGAACACGTGGCCCTCTCCAGCCCACAAGCAATTCTAGCTTCTCCCATCTAATTGTACTCGCTCACGCCAGTTCTCTTTAGAAACAAACCAACCGCTCCCTGCCCGTACTCCTTCCGAGAGCAAGTACTAAGCTGCTGGATCGTGTTCCCTGGACCTACTGCTGATAATGATGATTTATTTGGGCTTGCTGTTATCTGGGTTCTGACTGCTGGGAAGCTTATTCCAGATCTGTGCTATACAGTCAGCTGATTTGACCCGCATACTCCTTCCTCGTGTCCCTTACGTGGTAGAACTGTAACTGATACTTGCCATTTAGCAAAGAGGAAACTTGGACATACTCTCTCTCTTCCGCTACTTGTCAGAGCTGCAGTGATCCCCCTTGTACAACTAAGGGCTTTCCTACAGCTTTAAATAATAGGGAAAAATTGCCATCCTGCAGTATCCTTTGCAGAGCTATTTTAACTGAGGTAGTTCTACAGGAACGGACTCGCAGAGCAGTCGTGCTGGTGAAAGAGGGAAAGCACCGACTTCTTTGAATTCACTGCTGCCTTTCTTTGTTGGAAGGTTCTTCCAGTTCACCAACAGATGAAGACATGGAGACTGATGCAGTCAATGAAATCCTAGAGGATATTCCTGAACATGAAGAGGATTATCTGGATTTAACACTGGAGGAAGAGGAACAGATCATTCATGAATACTTATCCTATATACAAGTACCACAGCATTAAATCCCATTACATCTACTTCAGTTATATGTATTTACCTTGACAAATTGAATTTGGATTATAAATGCACCTTCAGCTTATCTCTTACTTAAATGCCTTGAATTCAATTAAACTATAGGTGGAAAACCTAATTCCTGCTTATTTATAAATCTGCTTAAAGCCTACATTTGTGATACATTGTAATTTATTGTCATAGCAGAAAAATAGAAACATTTATTTTCAGAAGAAAATTTAATAGGACTAAACTATATTTTTATTGTGAAATAAGTTAATTCACTTAGTATTCAAGCAAAGAAGCATTTCTATACCATTTTAAAATACCAGCTTTAAAAAAAAAAAGGTGAGTTTGTAAATTGGAAACCTAGCTCGTGAGGTTATAGAGGTATCGACTCACAAACTGTTCTCCTTTTCTTCTGAAAGATTTCTAAGAGTGATGTATGTATCTGTTGTGCATGGACTTGTACCGTGTTCTGCTGGTCACTTCATGCGGGTGTTACACAGGCAATAAAGGTAACTATGTGCTGCTCCTGCTTTTAGTAAGAGTCTTCTGTGCTTTGGTTTTAAAAACCAGTAGGAACTCCTGGCAGGGCCCTGTGCTCTCAGACCCTGGTGACCTGGGTAGTGGTATTTCCTTTTATGGCTAAATAACCAGTTTCCCTAAGCAGCTCCCCTTAACCTCTTGCAGGTGTGTGGCTTACGATTGATGGATTTCTTGGGGCCTGCACGATTTTCTTTAATCGGCTGTTGAACAAAACTTGGCTCAGGCACTGTCTCAGGAGTTGCACCCAGCTTCAGCATTCTGGAGAAATATTTGGGATTTTGTTTTTAGTGTGTTTTATAACCTCGCGTTTTCTGCTGTGTGAGCACTCCTCTCCACCGGGAACAGGAGTTCCCCTGCTTGTCAGCTTTTCTTAAAAATGGTTTATTTGCTTTCCGTAACTTAGGTCTCACGGTAGAGGGAGCTCATGCCCCGTCTGCTCCAGGCGCAGTCCTGCAGCTGGTGGGAACAGGGGAACTGGCCGCGATCTCCGCTTAGAGCAAGGCCCAACAGCAGCTGCTGGAAAACGAACCTTCCCTCTGGTGACAGTTTATTCGTACCCAGCACTTACCAGTGGGGAAATGGGGGAAATGAACTTCTGTCAGGGCAAGCGCGATGCTGGAGGAAGCAGAGCTTTGGCCTGCAGAATGACTGCGCGGTTCCAGGGGACGGACTTAATAACCTTCAGTAGTGGGTTTTTTCTTTTTTCCTGGCTACCTTAGCCAAAGACAGACGGCAACAAGCAGGCGGTGGTTACCCTGTTAAGGAATTATTTGCATTTCATACTTGTGCATCAAGATAAGTACTATAAAGTGAGTAGTTTTGTATCTCCTCCCAGAAGGTTGAAGCATTTCTAAAGCCAGCATTTCTACGAGCTGCCGAGGAGAAAAACCAGCCCCAGTAACCATTATATCCTGTTTCTCTATAGGAGAGCACTGAGGAACCACTGGACAAAACGCAGCGCGAAATCAGAACGTACAAAAGAATTGAAAATGAGAAAAATGAACAAAGTGATGAATGTGGTTTTAACGAGAAGTATGGGGGAGAGCACAAATTTATTCTTCCCTTGAGCCAGAAGCGTTCCCAAACCTACTGGCGCTCTGGCATTACCTTGTGGTAGCCCGTAGGCATGCACCGAGGGCAGCGTCGGGCTGCACAGGCAGTATTTCTCCTCTTTGAAGCGGCTTGCATAGCAAACTGGCAGTGACAACGTAAGAAGTGAACGTTTGTCCTTGGGGAATTTAAAATTAGCATCATAACACGCAGTGCTTGTCAGAGAAGCTGTAATTCTGCCAGCACCGCCCCCGAGTAACTGTGTGCAGTTTTAAGTGATCGGCAGGGCAGGAGGCATTGGCTAAAAGTTTTAAGTTAATTTTGACCATGTATTTGAAGACCCTGTGATACGTTTAGCAACAGACAGAAGTGGTAACGACTCATTAATTCCACTCTTTGAGATCTATGCCTATGAAACCCGTGTGCAGCTGCTGTATGGCCAGATAAGCTCTCACGTCTAACATACTGTGTGCGAAGTTTTAAACACAAAGTGTAGCCCAGACCATCTGTGCAACTCTGTCCGTCTCTGCTAAAGGCCTCCTACTTAGCATTGACCTCATAAGCAAAACACAAATAAAATTAGCTGCATAGCAAGCCATCACCCCAGCAACCAAGAGCCACCATCTCATAAACGTTTCCCACAGGGCCAGTACTGAGCTGACGACAACAAGGACCGAGAGGTTTACAGTGGAATTAAGTCTCCACCATGCAGACGACCTCCCAAATTAGTCTCTCTCGGTAGGCATTTCACGTAATTGAAATGCCGTTTCCTACTAGATGCGGAAACCTGCCAGGTAAGAGCTAGCAAAGCCGCTCAGCAGGAGAGGCGAGCAGGGTACGTAGCAGCAATGACGGACCTGACCCAACCACGCAGTGTTATGGTTTCAGAGTAGGGGTCTTTGGTGCCACCATGGTGAGCGCGGAGCCGGCACCTGTGGCTCTTCGTTGTCCGTGCTTTCCCTTAAGACTGGGCTTTGGTTTGTGGCTGCTCACTCCTTCCCCTGAGTAGGGAAACTGAGCTCTGGCAGTCTGGTGACCAGCGGGAGGCAGGACAAGCTGCACGGCATGCCAGACTCCAGCCCCAGCAGTGAAGGAAAGGCAAGAAATGTTGCCAAAAGTATATATGCTGGGGGGGTTTTTGTCCATATTCCATCCATTCTTAACTGCTCTGCATCTGCAGCCAGCCAAATCCCCTCTAAATGAGAAGGAAATAAAAACTAGTCAGTCAGTTGTCTGTAGATGCCACATGTTTATTAGTCCATTCTAAAAAAGGATTACAGCATTTTTATCTTGCTGTAGTACAGAATAAATAAAGCCATAAAAATAAAAACATGTGGTTAGATATTTTTGTACTGGTTCTACAAAGAGTTATATCTGCAAATAGAAAAATATAAGAACCCTTGTTTATTCATGGCTCAGTGGTTATCAGAGAGGGATGAACCTGGAAAAAGACTGGGAGAACTTCTCTTCAGTTTGACTGCTTATCCGATGCTACTACCAACCTAGCAAACCACGGCCGGACGTAGCCTCCTAAGGAGGAAAGATCACAAACATAGAGCACCCAGTAAATCTTCCCATTCTGCTCTTCTCTCCCCTGAAAAAAACACAGTTCGACATTCCCAGTGGATATAAGGAAAACCCTTCCCCCAGGACGGTCGAGCAGTGGGCCAGGCTGCCCGGAGGTGGTGCAGTCACCACCGCAGGTCTGGTGCCTGATGAACAGCTTCCAACTCCGGCCGTGCTGAGACGAGGTGAGGCCCTTCCGAGGAGCCCATCAGGAGCTTCCCATCTGGGGATCCGTGCCTGGGGGTAAGCGGGCAGCTGGAAGCATACGCCCCTCGCAGCACACAGAAGACGCCTGTGAGGCCGCTGATGCTTCCTTTGCCAAGTGTGAGACTGTAAAAGGTAAATAAAAGAACCCCCAAGGTTGTTGGGAGGAGGACGACTGCCTTGGCAAACGGCTGACCTTGGTACAAAAGGTCGAGGTTTAGCTTGTTCTCTAGCTTATGTTGTGTTAAAAAAAAAAAAATTAAATTAATTTCTGTCCTACTACTCCCGACTTCCCAGAGAGGTGTCCAGTCTGCTTTGAACTCCTTCCGCTGAGCCATACCATCCTGCGTTAGTTGGGCTAATCAGCAAAAAACTGACCCGAAGGTCAGCTGTGGAAATGGAATTTGTAGTCGTACTGCAGGGCACCTTTCACTTCTACATTCGGCTGAACAGAGGGCATGTGAGCGGGCACCAGGGACAGGAGAAAACATTTCTTATTAGATACTAGACAGGCGGAAGTGTGCAGCACCTCTGTGCCAGACGGAATCGAAAACAAGCAGTCGTAAGTAAAGTTCTTAATCGCACACGCACAGCAGTACATCACCCGAACCACACTGCAGTCCCTCCTGACCCCAGCACTGCTCAGCTGAGAGTCATCTGCAGCGACAATATCTGACTTGAGTCCATCTGACAGTCACCGAGAATCCCGGCTCCTGAAAAAGAGGTTCAAGCAAAGCCATTTCCCATCTCTTTCCAAGTTCTGGTTTACGTGGACACAGTGGTGCAGAAAACAAAAGGTTCAGCTTTGGTCACCGATGGAAAGTCTGTTCTGGACAGTCACATTAGTTCAACGGCCTCGTGTTCCCCATTTTCTTGCTGTACCATACAGCCGACTTTATTGTTGAAGAGACGAGACAGACTTCCCTTCTGAGAGCTCCTGCCCTGGGCAGACCTCTCCTTCTTCAAACGCCGCTTATTTCTCTTGCATATTCCCCGGATGTCCCAAATCCTTAGTGTGCCATCGTGGGAAGCTGTGTAGAGCAACTCGTTGTGGATCTGGAACAACAGGGCCACATTTAATACCGAATCGTACAGCTCGGAATCGGCACAATCAAACTGTCAGAAATCAGAGCAAACACAGCTTGATCCTAACACTTAAGGCCTGATAGCTCATTGCAAGAGCCAGTATAAATTATCACAAAAGCTGCTGAAGTGGGATGAGACGTTACCAAGTCAGGACTCATTTCTCAGCCACTTCACAGAGCCATAAAATATAAACAGCAAGGGTTATTTATAACCTAAACCCACTAGAAAAGCAATAGGGAACTAAACTCAACGTCAGAGTAGGCTGTAGCTGGGAGTTTCTGGGCTGGTTTCACACTGCTGAGTTTGAAGATGAAGCTTAAGGAGGCACCAAAATCATCAACAGTGGGCAGGGGGAGGTTCAGGAATGCTTTCCTTCTCACTTCCCTTCTTCTTTTGCAGGAAGTTACAGGTACAATTCCTCCTTCAAAATTTGTTCTTCCACCAAACCTGCAGTAATTTAACCTTGATTCCCCCCTGTAGCTTCATTTCTTTAACGGAACATTTGCTGCTGTTGGTAATGTTTCCAATTGTCCTCACCCCACCCTAGAAATAAGCTGTCGGTCTTGATCATCTTCCCCTTCCTGTGTCAGTCTGCCTGCCACGGGCGCTCACAGTCTCCAGCGGCGGGCCATGACCGCGAGCATCCCACCGGCAGTCTGGCTTACACCAGCACGAAGCACCACACAAGCACAGCACCACCACAGCCCCCTCATCCATCCCCCATTAATATACTTAAGATCATACTAAGGTCACCACTTCTCAGTCCTCTCTCTTCCCAGGATTTTTTGCCCTGTACACTTGGAAATGAAATTACAAAAAAAATACGAAGCCAAGCTTTGGCCTTGTCAATACTTAAGAGCTGCACAGAGTGATTATATCAGTTATCACCCAAATACACCCAGGTGACTGGCTGCGACACAACCAATTGGTCAATACCCAAGAGTTGGCAGTTTAAGACCAACTAGCCACTTGCTAATTCAGAAAAATATACAAAAGACTACCATACTTACAACTCTCTACGCTTGGGATCAACTCCAAAAGGAATTTTATCTCCTCTCTTTTTCCTTTCAACTGCCAGCCTGCCAGAAATACTTACAGTGTCTCACGTTCTTAATCAAAATCCTCATCCCGTATGCAGCTTTTACTGTGATCCCGATGCAGGGAGATGTGGATTCTTAAATGCACAAAGCATCCAAGGATTCAAACTTTCCCCGCCAGGATTCCTTGCGTGATACTGATCTTTGCATTGCCACCAAGGATTACTAACGCCTCCCCTTTCAACTTTTAAACGCCAGTATCGCTTGAGCCTAGACAATATGCAAGCAACTTTTCAGGGACTTAATTAATTAACTTTTAGAAAATATTTAAGCCAGTGGCAGAGACTCTTCCATTTGTCTGGCAGGATGTGGGTCAGACAGCAATACAGAGCTTCTTTCTCATCTTTATACCTTCAGAAGAACAGATCCCGATGGCAATATTTTATACAAACGTTTATATACAGGGTAGCACGTGGAAATCACCACTAACTCTTCACGAAGATCAGAAAGGACGGTAAGCAGTTGCTAGACTGTTGAGGGATGCCACGCCCGGGGGGCTAAGGGGTATGATGCTATGTATTACTCTGCTTGGAAAAGGCAGAAACTTCTTTTCCGCCTAGAGCATAGCAAACACTTATCACCAGTGCCTTGTAATGGAAGGGGTCTCATGAGGTCGGGGTCCATTCCCTGCCCCTACACAGGATCAGTTACATCCCTCTCATTTCGAATGGTTGCTTGCCTAACCCGACCTGAAAAACCTCCAACCACAGATATAGGACTGTCTCTGGGGACTCGTTCTGTGGTTTCACTTATCCTTATTATTATCGAGTTTGTGTAAAATTACAAAAGGAATATTCGAGTCTGTTACTTTTGGTCTTACCCTAGAACAACATCCAACCCAAGACACGCAGAACAGCTAGCCACGCCAATTCCCACAAAACAAATGAGGGAGCAATCAGAAGTGAGAAATCCCAGCGAAGAAACCCCTTCCTGACCTGGATGCAGTTGATGATGAACTTGTGCCCTCGAAAGATCTTCTGCAGGACACCACTCTTGGAATTGAAAGCTCTCGCACAGGCATCACCACTTCCTGTGAACACTGCAACGCAACCACACAACATAGCACATGGCCGAATGTGAGCAGCCACGTAAGATCAGTTCACGCGAGTTCAACATGTACCTAAAACTAGTTCACAAAGGAGCACGACGTATCGTTTTTAGGCTTGATTCTCTTCTCAGTTATAGCAAGTTCAGATCATTTTCATTTCGCTGACCCCAGCGTGCCTGTTTTCATTCGTATTTTTCAAAACACTGAGCTGCCTTAAGCCTGAAGTTCCTACATACATCAGCATTTCACGCCACGCACACTTCAAGTATCTATTTCTGCTCTTCTCTTCCATGTATATTTCCCTGCCTAAACATGCCTCAGGAATTCTAAGCAGGCAATTTATCTCAAGTCTGGTTTTATGGATTTCCACTAAGCCTTCCATTTGTTTTACCATAGTTATTTCCAGGTTTCCATTCAGCACTATAGTATCTTCATCACCTCTGCTGCTGCATCAAGCAGCAGAAGCATCTGTACAAGTGGAGCTGCAAACCACAGCAACAGCGTTACCACCTCTCATACCAGTAATACGAATTTGGCCTTTGCTTCATTAAATCATACCCTTTTTTCTCCCCCATTTTCAACCATAAGCTTACTACCAATAGGCATGGCCGTCTCTGTTGACATACCACAGGCAAATCGTCTGTCCTCAGAGGTGACTGGCATGTGTAGGCAGCTTTACAAAGAAGCTTTATAAATTCGTTCAGTGTGGTAGATGTCTTCAGCTAAATCCTGTAGCTTAGGATCTTTGTAAGCAGTAGAGCCTTTAAGTGATTCAAGGCCCAGGCTATAATCTCTGTTTCAGCATGGCACAGAATTATTTGAGGGTTTTGGCTGTAACTCTTGTATTCTATGTGCTATACTGTACATGTGCTACAAGGCAGGGGGGGGCTAAGTAAATTAAGCATGACCAGGGATTTTGGCTGTTCATCAGGTTTCCTTAGGGTATCTTAACACGTTCGAAGAACAATTTCTCAACACTTCAGGATCTCCACATCAGATCCCCAGAATTGCTGCATCCAGAAACTGTAAGGCAATGTTGAATATTTAGATTTTATGCTTAGCAATATGCCCAAAGAGGAGTGCATTTGTGTGCTTTAACGGTTACCAGCTGTCTTCATAAACACTCACTTTCCTTCACTTAACCCAAACTCCTCAAGTTTATCTAGAGATAAATATTTCAGAACTGCAAAAAGCAATATATTCACTGCTCCCTGCATTTCATGCCTTTGCAAACGCCACTAGCATGGAAAGATTTTTATAAAACTGAAGTGCCTGAAGACAACAGATTCCTTTTCTTTTGGGAGAAGTCAGGCACTGGATTCCTAAAAAGAGGTGAAGAAATTATCATGGCAGTAAATTCAGGACTACAACAAGAGACAAGAGAACAGGCTACCTACTGCCATCAGCTTTTCAACTTCAAATTAAACGGCAGGAGGCTGGGTACTTCCCGGGTACACCTTCAAGAAACATCTGGATGTGGAAAATCGATGTCATTTTGTACGGGCCACTATAAATTCAATTGCCAACACAATCCTGAAAAAGCATTGCGTCCCATTCTGCAAATGAGTAACAACGATGTACAGCAGGGGAGGTGCTACAGACTTTTTTTCCAGTGAATGGAAATCACTTAATACTATTACACACATGCAGAGAGTAGGAACCAATTAAGAGCTGTTTTCACTATGCAGCTGTCAGTTTACTTTAGCTATCGCTATCAGGATTTTGCTTTTGACAGACATCCTTTATGTCTTTTGAACTGTCACTCTCGATTCAGGAAGTGGCTTTGCACCTCTGAGTTTCAGAGGAGAGCTGTTGACCTAATCCAGATTTAGCATTTAAATATATGCTTATATATACCACCTGTGAAACAAACAAACAACAAAAATAAAATCAACAATTCATTTTTATTTTTTACTTAAATTTCATAGACTCTTGGAAGGGAGAACAGGTTTTAAATGTTCCCTTGGAGTTTTTGCAACATGAAAAAATATAAACCGCATTAAATTTTAAATGACTGTGCACATACAGTAGGAGAGAAATAACCAACATAGTATCATTAAGTAAATTAGATTGAGAACCAGCTTTAATATTCCCCATGCTATTAATTACACAAGCAGACTGAGGAAAGCCACTAGAAACACATTCTGATGCTTTAAAGCTTAGTTCTCAGATCTGGCTGGACTCCCTGTACACTATAAAGCCATTTTGGAAACACACATATATTTTTCCTCTCATTCTTCTACTATATTTTCTTATTTAGACCGTAAACTCTTTGGGGCAACGAGCCTTTGGGTACTGATCAGATAGCAAGCGACAGAATTAAGATCTTCTAACAGAAAGTTACCACTTCTCAGCTGAGATTCTTTCCATGTTCTTGCACTCGTGCAAATGCAACATAAACCATAACAAACATCATTTATATTGAAGCATTTTCTCCACATTTTTGAAAGACAGAGAACGGACACACAGTGCTGATCTGTCCCAGACGAACAGCTAGAATTTTAAGCTACGCTAGCTCCAACATTTGGTATCCAGCGAACATGTCTTTGTAATTCTAATTGAAACAAAACTATTAGATACTGTGTAAATAAGTGATCAATGTATTACAATAATGCAAGCGATCACAGTATATAAACTAATTTTTAAGGGGAAATTTCCTCTTTCAAGAATTAAAATGCATCTAAATTCTATTCAAACAAGTCCCTAATATTTTTCCATGACATTTTTTCTACCCTTCAAGTGGAACAATTCAATTCTCCCTGTTTGACACTTCTAGTATTTTTGCATTTGATTTAAAATGAGATCTTAAATAACTCTGTGAACACTTCTACCACGCTATCAGGATGTCTTCACAGGTCTGACTAAATGCAGCAGTATTGCCTGCATTTTAAGAAAAAAAGAGTGTTATGGAAAAATAATGTATGAATATGGCAGGGACAGGGTGGTAGGATGAGGGGGAAGAGAGAGAAAGCTGCAGAGCTGATGGGGGTGGCATCAGATAATGAAACTTTTGTCTGAGCCTAAACTTTCTTTGTGATGGTTTTAGAGAGCCTGGTCAAGTCTATACTGGTTGCACAACACTGAAAAAATGCAGCTCTGGAGGTCTCGTTAATGAAGGAGACAGTCTCGCCATCTCCCATCCTGACATGGAGATTCCTCACTGCATCAGGCCAACATCAGCTTAGCACAGTTACCTCACCTTTGGGTAGTCTTGATGAATTCAATGTTTTGCTTTGTATCTTTATAATTAAAAGGGGGAAAACACACACACACACACACAAAATAATCAGTATTTTGTTTGCCAGTGCTCATCCTGGATTAAAATTTCTGGTTCATTTCCCCTGCCCTACCTGCCTGCACCTTTGAGCAATAATAATTTCAGGGTGCAGCGTAAGCTCAGACCCTTTCCCCTTCCATTTCAGCCTTCTAGCCAACTGCAAAAGCTGAAATCAACAGAAATTATAACCTGCAGGTAGAGGAGAGTGGGGCAGTTCTGCAATATAGGTGAGGAGAGCTGAAATTAACCGTTAATTACAATCAACTATTTTAATGGAGAAAAGTAGTGCTGTGGGTCTCATGCTGAAAGGAAGACCAAAAAAAGGCTACCTGATTAAAATAAAAATCTACCTATGGGCTTGGTTACACGTTAAATTTCCAAACATAATTAAGAAATCAATTCAGTTACTGCGTTATAGATGTGGTCAGTCAGCCATGTCAAGCATGGTGCTAGACAACTGCCATTAAACTGTAATCTGCCCGTGCAGGTATGACTCTCTTCTACTGTGTGCCATCTTGCATTTGTCAGCCGTTTATCGCCACCACACTGATGATCTGCCAAAAGAGACATCAAGGCCCAAATAGCAACCACTCATTTGGTGTTACGTGTTCGCTTCATAGCTGAAGTACAGAAATCGAAATCAGAAAAGCGTTGCGAATTTCCAGATTAGCTTAAGACAGGCGTTTCCATCCCGGTTACCCTGAAGGAGAGAATTACTTGTTTGGGAAGCAAATGGAGGCACATTAGGTCTAACCTCAGTGGCAGGATAAGACCAGGATGACACACACAGAGGGTTCAGGCTGATAAAAACAGAGGCGCAGTCTTGCAACCCAAAACCAGAAATGGATAGATGATGTGGAGAAGGAAAGCCAGCCAAGAGAGGGATTTAAAGAGGGAGGTTTCATGGTCAGAATATACTGTTATGTCAATAGACAGTTACGTACAGATACCGCTATTAACAGGAGTACTGAAAGTAGGGGAACCGAGTCCCGAGCATTAGTAAGGCAAGCAATGCTTGGCTACTGCAGAAAGGTGGTTTGGGGAACAAATACATGAAAGAGGACAGATAAAGGGAAAAGAACTCGTGGGAAATGAGTCTAGGAAATGGTCAGACTCTGAACAGGAAGCCTAACTGTTAGAAAGAAGCAGTCAGCATCTGAGATGTGATTCTGGTTTAGGACAGTCCATTACACAGTACCTACAAGGTAGCAGAGGCAGGCACAGGGCTGCATATCCAGCAGCAGCACTTGCTGTCCCTGAGTATGCAGCAGAAGCAGACTGACAGACATCAGACTAGCGAGGTTAAACCACAGCTATACAAACAACCCACAGACAGCTCAGGATTTAAGCCACTTCCTTTGGTAACAGAAATAAAGCAACTGCCTCTTCATTTGCCAGAAGAGGGAGGTGGAAAACGGAGTGAAGATCTAAGCTTCCCACATGGAGTAGTGCAGCAAAGTTTGATACTGAACATAAACATGCTGGAGTTGAAAAAAGTAACAATTTCACAAGCCTTCAAAATTACAGTATTCTCTATTAACAATCTTTGATCAAAGACAAACATCGAAAAGGAGACAGGGGATTGCTGAACATAGGAAAGGCAACTTACAGATCCCAGCGTGGTATTTCAAAGTGCTAACGCTGTGTTTGTGAGCCTTGTACGTTTGGATTCGCTCCCCAGTGTCTACTAACCAGCACTTCACTGTCCTGTCCGCGCTTCCTGAATACAAGTGCCGATTCACTAGCTGAAGGGAAGAGAAAAAAACATCAGCAATAGTCTCTCAGGCACGTTCGTGAGAGAACTGCACTGAAGTGACTCATCCGAAGTCACGGTTTCCAACTCAACAGCCTGTTACAAAGAGCAACGACTACACCTTGAAACAAGAGGGATGATGAGCAAAACCATTCTTCACAATCACATCTCCCATCGACTTCTGGGCCTTAAAAACAGCTCCCACATTTCAGAAAATCAAAAACTTAGCCCATGTGCTGGTGCACACAGGCAGGATTCCAGTGAGCTTAAAAATGATAACCCTACTTCCATAATTAGTTACATTAATACAGCCTCAAAAAAAAACCCTGTAGCGTAGTTTCTGCAGAGCATATTTGACAAGAACTCTTATCAGATTGTAAGTTTTAATTACAAGAAAAATTTCAGAACAATTTTGAATAACACAAAAAAGTAAATTAAAAATAAAATCCTATGCAACATAAACCGGGGTTTAACACGATCACTCTGCACAAGGTCAATATTTGGAAACACTAACTCTTCCTTGAAACAAGTCTTTTCAGACTGTGTTATCAAATGATTAAATAACTATCCTTACACGGGTTTCTAAACATCTTCAATCTGATTGTCTTCTGCTGAGTGTTTAGAGCAACTCTGCCTGTAAATCCCAAAGAAGAACAGCGCCTCATTACGCTAGTTATCCTGCACAATGTGTGAACTCACTAGTGGTGGAGGGTGGTTTTTATTCCACACAGACATGACAGAGAATGGCAGAGGAAAGGATTGCAGATGGGAAACCAAGACAGAGAGAAAGTAACTGACCTGTGCAAGGCTATAAAACTAGCCAGTACACAGTAACAAACTAGCAGCTCAGCAGGGAAACCCTCCACAGTGCAAAGAAAAATCTTGCATTCTATGTCCACCTAACAAAAACAAACTAAAGGTTTCCACAGCCATCATTACGTACAGCTCTGACTGCCTACTCCTCCAAGCAGAGAACTGGCCAGACACCTGCCATCTGAAGGCAGTGTAATGAAGGCAGCCAGTCATCACACACTCTCACAGCAATCCACGGGCTGTAGTTTGAGGTAGGTTTCATGGACTTGCAGCAATTCTCTGTATCAAATGGACAGAGAGACAGGAGGGAGAACCCTGACCCCCCCCACAAAGAAACAGAATTTGCATAAGGACTAATAATACCATGTTTCCCCTCCAGACACACGGATCAGAAGGCTCAAGTGACCAGCAGAGCACTAACCCCTTACGCTCCTCATATGTCTCCAGGAAACCAACTGCAGAACAAATGACAAATCAACTTGACATGGGTCTTGCTCTTAGGTCACTTTTAAGGGTCTGGTTCTTCCACCACCTTAGATTATTATAAACCTTCGGTCCCCACTCTTTGCACACTCTGTATCTGTAAGGTTGAAATGTTTTTCACGCTCTCCCATCTCCACCCCTCTTCCCAAAAGGAATCACCCCATTCCCAAAAGGCATCGTAAGTGAGATTTGCACTGTGTTACAAGAACATGAAACAAAAGGTATTTTAAGATACAAAGCACTCAGTGATGGGACTACGCTAACCCATGTAAGAAATGTATGTGAGCAGACCAAGATGATCACTGGCCGCAGCTCCCACCAGCCCAGTTGGAGCAGTGCATGCCACACTTCCTACCAGCAGAACTTGGCCCATGGGACAGTTTGCATAGCTAAACATCAGGAGCTTGTAAAACACATACCACTGTTCAAAGCCAGCAGTACTTTGAAATGTCACATCCTATTACTTTTAAGTTGTTTTAGCAATGGCATTGAAACTACATCTCAGTGAGGAAAGAGAAGGAATGACCAGCAGCACTAACCAAAACTGAGAGCTGTAGAGTTAGCCTGAGGAAGGTAACCTGACTTTTAATGTCCAGGCTCAACCTGAATGGGCATGAAGAGCATGGTCACATTGCACCTGCTAAATGGAAGAGGTTGCTTTGAGTTGAGATCCTGCTGCATTGTTCTTGGCCAAGACATTGCATTTCTTTTTCAGACATCTTGCTAGCAGCATCAGCCCACCCACTGAACAAGGGAAAACGCTAAGTTATAACCTCCTGCAGGTGAATGCCACTCTGCCTTAACGGTACATTACGTTACGCTGCTTCATTTCTACATTTAAGTGGGTGTATAAATGCTGAAGTGAAATAGAAAAGCTGCAACTTGCCTAGATTTGCTAATTTGCTAGATATAAAAATGTGTTAAATTATGTGGGCTTACTCAGGTAATTTATAGCTCCAGGATCAGAAGAGCCATAAAAGCTTCCAATGCCCAGTCAGAGATCTGGAGAGTTCGCTGACACACCAACCACGTTCATTAAATTCAAAGCCTCTGTGCTACCCAGGCTGCTGCATGATACACTTTTATGCACCTTCCTCCCCCTCACCAGTTTAAGCAGGTGAGCACAGTAGCAAAGGACTCTCAGCCATGCATGGAAACTGAAATACTAACAGGTTAAACAATCTACTGGATGCCACAGACTAAGCCTGCAGCACAGCCAACAGCAAAACTCAGTACAGGCTCTGGCTGTCACACAGCCTCTCATTTCCATGGTATTTTTAAAACACAGAGCACGAAATAGCTATTAGAGGAGAAAGCCATCAAGAGCTATCAGCTCAGGTTGAAGTTGCAAATCAGATCTGCCTTTAGTGATATGACGCAGGCATCATCGCATCTAAATTGATGCAGGTTATCTACAGCTAACATAGTCCCCTTAGAGTCACTGCAGTCTAGGGCACAATTCATCTCATCCTGAAGCAGATGTCTGAAACAGCTCATGCCTTAAAACTCACTATTTCTCCCCCCTGACAAGGACAACCTTCTCAGTTGTAGCCATCTATATCAATTTAGGTGAGATGACTCCTCCTTCACTTGATTAAAGATAGGTCTAGTTTACAACTCCAGCCTAAGCTACAACACTTCAGATATCTATATTTAAGCAAAATAATAAGAATCATCACATACTGTTCCCCTAGCCAAAGCACCTTACAAGCAGGCCCCACACTCTGTGTAATGTAAAATAAATACCTTCCCTACTTTATAGATGGGGAACCATGATATAATGCAACTGAAGTCCATCCAAAAAAGGTCTTGAAATTTATAGCATCCTAACTTTTGACTACCCAAATCCCAGAATGCAGCCCTGATTTGGAAGGCTCATCCAGGCTGCAACTGTACCTTTCTACGAGGCACAGGAAGCATTACGTGCTTCAGGGCAGTTGTGACAAGCAACAATGCACAGTATCCCTGAAACTGGTCAAGAGAGTATATGAAAACCAGAGGGGATTCTGCCTGAGAAGAGCAAGACAGAGGCACCAATCCAATCTGACCCATGCCAAATTGGTATTTTTACTCCAGAGCCTTCTTTCAGAGTTTGCATCCAAAGGGTGTGGCTATGCCCCAACAATGCAGACACGGGAGCCTTGGCTCCAACTCACCAAGGTTGGACATACTGTGCAAATGTCCTCATGCTGGCTGGGCACAAGCCACCTTTGCTGTGGAAGCAGGGGAGGTCTTAGGGTCATCCAGCAGCAAGGTCCTTGGCTCCCGTCATCCTTTTTCTTAAGTCATGACTGTATCGAAAACTATCTAAAAAACCCAAGAAAGAGGGACTGTAACACGGTTCCCCCGCCCACTTCCAGACAGGTCCCCAAAGCACTGATTTCTAGTTAGGTCACCTTCTGCTGGTTCTCCCTCTAGGACTCTTGCTAACCTCCTTACACCAGCTTGGCTTCTATCCAGCGGTTATGGGACCCTCCAAATGGGTTCAAATCTCCTCAGCCTGCAGAGACCATTTAATCCAGATCCGCCAGTTCTGTTAGACTACTGGGCCAAACCATATGTTGCTGTTCCTTGGGTTAAACACGGTTTCTGTTCCTTGGGTTAAACATCCCTGCTGACACGTTAGGCTCAGCAGATCTGTCCCCTCTCAGGAGCTGGACAAAGTATACTGACTTCTTCACCAAAATGCGAGCTCATGCTCCAGCTTCGATGGGATCTAAGCCTCCCCACTGCCAAGACGCACCCATTTTTGTGTATGGGCATCCAGGCGCAGTCATTTTCAGTAAATACTTATGGGCTAGGTCCCCAGGTCCATAACTACTGGGCTTTTTCAGCCCAAAGTCTCCAAACCTTTACCCAATTCCCTATGTCCCAGTCCTATTCTTATTAAAAAAATTAATTTTCTTATTATTTAGAAGGAAAAACATAAAATTTCACTCAATAGATTTTTCCAGATATACCCAAGTCTGTCAACTCTTGGTTTAAAAATCATCAGTAGAAACAGTTACATATTCTAATCTGCAACTGCCTGGAGAAGCGGTGATATTTTCAAAGCTGTATTTTCCTTGGCTGGCTTTTGAGCACTTCGTTCACTTTGGCTAACTGCCCAACAAAGCTCCTGACAAGGAAAAGCATGGCAAGGCAAAGACACCTGTAGCAGAGCAGACAACACAGAACAGATTTGCACCTCAGATACCAACAAGCTGAGTGGACATTTCAAACCCAAGTAGCTTCAAAAGAATTAAAAACCTGGTGACAGTCAGATGCCCAGTTCTAAAGCCTCAGCCAGACAGCAAAAAAATCACTGCATTGGTATCTGTAATTCTGGACTGTTCATTTTTCTTATTACTCTGAGGGACTTTGCTTTAAACCAGATGAAACACTGAGACACATGAATGGAGCAAATTCATCTTAATCCTCAGGCCAAAGTACCAGAGGTGATGTATTCCGTGAAGAAGTTCAGTCAGACTTGCTTGTGAGTAGCAAAGTAACAGCAGTAGCAAAATACAGGTTGTAAACGCTGAAGTAGTTACAGGTTTCACTATTAAAAAATGCCAGTTTTATGCAACCCTGACCTCGGTTGTAGCCCCCAGACACACCACAGTTTGAATAAAAAAAACCAAACGATCACATCTAGGGTTGGTCTCTCAAGACAATCACAACCCTATTGCTCCACAAGCTTGGCTGAACTGAATATATGCAGCAGCTTAAGACAATTTCTACCTGTATGAATGCCAAAAACATCTGCAAAAGAGCTGTTTAGCAGGTATTTCAACCTTATAGGAACGGACTTTGCTCTCCCAATTAACCTTTGCTATAAGAAACAATTTAACACTCATCCAAGGAGAGGCAATCGGCTCTCCAAACAGATTTGGACACATCCTCTTTCCAAAGGTCATTGCACTCAGACTGGCTCCCAGGAACTTCACAATGAGTCCACATCAGCGACCATGTGTCCCATTACCAGCTTATTCTTCACATGGGGGTCAGTATTCCTACAATCTGCCAGCTGGGTCTTCTGTTCACAGCTACTTCTAAGTTAAAAATCACCAAGTTGGACCAATCTCAAGTTACAACTATGTAAGCCTTCGGCCGAGTTAGACTTTCAGGATCCCATTCAAACCACATCCATTTTAACGAGCTAACGAACTCCCTGTGGGCAAGAAATTGTTTTTTTTCCTGAGAATCCATCTAGAATGAGCTCTCTGGTCTGGCTGCTAGAAAACATTTTTCAACTTCTTTACTGCAGTGCGAAGTAATGGTCCTAGAAACATGTTTCTTTTCTACAGGTGTTTTACACGTTCATATTCCTCTAATTCACATCTTCATCCTCTGATGAATTATGCAACAAATACAAACACAAATTACAAAAAATATGTGCACTTAATTTAATTAGTGTCACAAGAAGAAAATTCTGTCCCCGTGACCACAACAGTTAAGCATATAAACGGAGTTCAGGCAACAGCTTTGTTCAAAGCATTCTTTTCTTCTAGTCAGCTTTAAAAGGCAACTAAAGGGAATGGTCCAAACAAAGGATCTTTTGCAGGAAAACCAGAAGCAAGTCCTTGCCCACTCATGTTCATTTAAAACTCCTTTTGCAAGAAAGGAGTTTTCTTGCAAGAATGTTTGCTATAGGATCCAAGCTAAATTCCAAGCTGGATCATTTCTCTCTGCCAGCTTTTGGCAGCACAATTTTGATAAATACTCAGAGGCAGAAAAATCAGCAAAGGACAAAGCAATCCTTGTGAACAGTTTGCAAAGCTACTTTGGAGACCTTTAGAAAAACATACAAAAGTAAGTATTTAAGTCAGGCTTATTCAGCCTATGGCAGGCAGTCACGTTAATGAAAATGCATGTTTGATTATTAATTGCAAATACTGGTCTTTAGTCAGGCCTGAAATTTTTAAGTGGAAGAACTAGCATGAGCTGTGTGATTACACTCAGCCCACCCTCGCTTTTTCCCATCGCTTCCTATAAAATCTCGTCATTGGCTCTTATATGAAGAGGGAGCACACAAAACAGCTGCTGTCCCTTGCCTGCCAAGCTACCAATGCACTGCAGGAGAAATAGAGTGAAGAGTTCTGGCTGTTCCACTGCTAGTTACCTTGCCTGACTATGAGAGTGAAGTAGTCAAGGCCGCCAAAGCACCTAGCATGCACACAATTCCCACTGCAGATAGAAAGTCTCCTGGCAAAACTTCTGTCAGTCTAATTTAGATAGTGGAAGGAAGAGAATAGCGGCGTTAGAATAAGCTGGTACCTGCAGCAGAACTACTTTGAGAGTAGACCACATGCAGTCAGTTCAGCTGGTAAATCACCTTCAACAGCCTGGCCCCAGGACAGCAGGACAAGCCCTGGGGAATATCTGAGCAGCTCACCCTCTTCACTCCGCTGTCCAGGACCACCAAGGACAGGGGAAAATGGAAAGCTAAAAGCTCACCAACGCTTCCCGTTCTGCCACGCTAGATTAGAGTTGCTTTCAGGCTCCTCTAACTTATGCTAGCTGGCAACACCACCCACAGGGTCTTAGAGCAATGGAGGAACATTCAAAATCCGAACATGCCTGTGGCATCACCCCTCTGCTTTTCATACGCCAGCACTGCAGGAAGCAAGGTGGAAAACATGGGTGTGCTTTATGGATATCTACCCAGAAACGCTCCTTCAAGAAGCTCTGCGAACTTCCATTCACTGCTACGGCGACACTATTGGTATTTACTGGAAAGTAACGGGAGATGACTGGAACAGTCCAGACCTAATTTGCAGCAGTTTAGAACATCCTGGGGCATTCCCGTTAATAACAGTACTTTTTAAAGTTGGGGAAAATATGGTCTCAATATCCAAATTTTTCCTGATCTGTGTCCAGGATGAGAGATCACACTGAGCATTTCTCAAACTTTTTGAAAGGTCACCCTCCCTTAGGGATCTTTATTTGAATAAATAAAATGAAAATAAGTCTTTATTTTTTTCCCTTTATTCTCTCCACAAAAGCATTATACCACCCAGAGAACAGGTAACTACCGTTAATTGCTGGTACCAACTCAGTTCCTCCAGGACAGGGGAGTGAAAATCTGGTATAATTAGCAGCTCACTTCTGCCCTGAAGAAAATGAACTATTGTCAACAATTAAAACTGTCTGCTGGCTACTGTGAGCAACTCACAACTACCTCCAAGTCCTTCCTGACCCACAGTTTGAAAAATACTATCCCAACTCACTGCCACAGATTGCAACACTGTCACTAAGAAGCCCTAGGCAAAGGCTCCAAGAGCTTTTTGAGAAGAAAACAAAAATTAAAAAAAATAAACACCTCTATTCAGGAAGTTTCCCTTCTGTTGTAACATCTTTGTATGGATTCTGGTGATTGACCCCTTTCTAAAAGAATGAAAATACCATGTGGGCTGTGCTGAGCAGCAGCCAAGTGGAACAGAAAGGCTAGTGTTGAACCCAGTAAGGAAGAGGGAGGAATTAGGAAAGATCGACAGCCTAAAGCTATTCAACAGCAGTACAGTGACTGCTTAAGCTAGGATAAGTTTTAGAAGCCTAGAAACGAAATGCTCTCTGTGGGGGCAATATGTACCTCAGCTGGATTCTTCTAGCCTCAAACATCAACTGGTGATGAGAGAAGCGAGGGGCTACCAGTTACTCACAGCTAGAAGAAGATTTGGCCAGGACTGTTGCCAACACAGTCTTGGCAGCAGTAGTCTTGTGTACTTTGAATTGTTCAGGTTTTCCAAATAGATGTATTGGTTTTGCTTTTCTTCTCCCCTACAAGAAGTTCTGTTTGTTTAAAACCATTGTTTAACTCTGTGCTCACAAGCGGAGCAGCATTGCTCATTCTTGAGCATTCAAAGAGTATAATTGAATTTCCCAGGCTTCTAGGAGAGGGTCAAGCCGGTTTTGTGTAACAATTTTAGCAAGAACCCAATTAAATTAAAGCAAGCTCTGTTGTTGCCAATCTGTGCCTTGGAGAAGGGTTACAATTAAACAGCAAAACATAGCGTGACACTAAGAACAGCAACAGATTTACTTGAGCATCCTCAAAATACATTACCACAATATCATAAAAACAAGCTTTAACACTGAGAATTTACCCAAGCAAGACAAACATTACTCCAGGGCAACACGATTTTGTGTGGGGTTTTTTCCTTTCTAAAACTGAAGGAAAACAGAATTCCTTCAGTACTATCAGGTTTTTAGTCTGCTAGTGTCAGCTGCGACTACCTTCTTTAGAAACAAAGGCAACATTTATTAAACAGCTATTAAAAATACATACTGTAGCCTCTGTAAAGGAAAAGCACTTATGGACGACAAACACAAACAAGGAGAGTAGTGAGAAAATCTACTGTCATTAACTTGTCAGACACATAGAGTTATAAACATTTAAGGTTTGCTGACCTGAAACCAAGTTACAGACCATCATATACCTTCTTTAAATATACCATTAGCATTTTCTGGTGGATAATGGAGTGTACAGGACAAGTGCTTGTGCGATAGTTCCCCTTTTCCTTCATCTGCCTAACCTCCTTCTCTCCTCTGCAACATTAACAAACCTGGCAGCATTCACCAGAAAAATACTGCAAACAGAAAAACAGGGTATAGTTTTTCAGGTCACATTAAATTTTTTCCCCTCCTTCGTCATTTCCTGGTTTCGCTCCCCCATGCTCTACTTCTCTTTTCCATTTTCCTTGCCCATTTTCTTGTCTTGGCCATCTCTTTCTCCCCTTCTTTTCTCAAATTATGTCTGTGTGGTTTTTAAAGCAGGATTTCTTTCAGCTTTATGCTTTCCTATTATCTTTTGCCCACAATTTTGGGTTGGGTTTTGGGTTGGTTTTTTTAAGTCATCTGGTTTACTCTGAATTTTTTTCCCCTCCCCGTTTTAAGTTATCTGACCCTGTGTCTGTTTACTTGCTCAGGTTATTTTACTTGAAAGTCTGGTGATCCTGCATACACAATCCTACTAATGAGTTTCAAGACCTAGGAAGATTTAAATAGATACTGAGCTAGAAGTTAGACCAGGATAGCCACTAGAAGCAAAGAGGATAATCAGA